GGCTTTATGGGCTTGGGTTTTACATCTTAGGCTAGTTGATTGATACATTTTGGAGAAAGCAAGCTCACTCCCTAGAATTGGTCTTGCCCACTGCAATGGCCCTAACAGCAAGGGTAATGTTCCAGCTTATGGATGGGCTCGGCTCAGAAATGAATTCTACTTAATGTGAACGACCAATTGAACAGTTCATCAATGGTTATACTCAACCATTGGAAAAAATGTTGGTGTAACTATTATACCACATTAATACTGTCACATGGTTTAATCGTTCACTAATAAATAGTGTCACCATTCAACAAAAATATAATAAATTAATTTCACATATTCTAGTAACTGCCATGTCATGTCATTCTAAGTGGAGTTCACCGTGTCCATGTATAAATTTATGGGTTAATTTTATTAGAGGTTTATAACGTTTATCTCATTTTGGTCTCTAAAGTTTTAATTACATCATTTTTGTCCCTGAATTATTGAATATGTTTCTATATGATTTTTCAAGCAGACAACGTCCAGATTGCTAATAATTTTTTATCATAAACTTGTCATATAATACCTAAATATAGATAAAAAATAATTTTAATATCTTTTAAACAAAATCTGAGTAACTCTTGACATAAAATGTATAATATATGTAGCTTTTTGACCAAAATCGAGATAGCTTTATGATCAAAATTATGTAATTTAAATAGTTATTTAATAAAAATTTGAGTAAAAATTTGTGGAAGAGTTATCTAAATTATTTTTGTGTCCATATTTAAGTATTACGTAACAAGTTTATGATAAAAATTATCAGCAATCTAAACATTATCTGTTTAAGGGATCATATAGAAACATATTTAATATTTTATAGAATAAAATGGTGCAATTGAAATATTGAGGATCAAAATAAAACAAGCCCTATACTTTTGGGCTTAATATTCAATACTTAATAAATTCATAAGTAATATTATATGAACTTAAAAAATTAAATTTAAAACGTAAATTTGATAATCGACAGTTATTAAATAAATAATGTGTCATAATATTAAAATTAATTATTATAATTATCAACGCTATATTTTAAATCCCCAAAAGTCATAACTACCCATTTATCAATTTTGTAGGGCTTGATCGGTAATATTTACGATTTTTGATTTTTTAAAAGACTAAAAATAAAATCTGAAAACGAAAAATATATTTTTTTCATTTTTTAAAATCGCCCCTAGTTTACAAAATGATGACAGAAAAAAAAAAAAAAATCGATTATCAAACATGTTATTTTTTTTTTTTATGTCAAAATAAAAACGAATAACGGAACCGTAGTTTTTTTTGTTGCTGATTACAAACCACTGCTGGTTCAAAGACTCTCCAACGAAACGCCAATGAAGACGCTCTTCGATCAGAAAACTCCATAGTTGAACTCACCGGTAAGGAGAGTGATCAGTTTGCAGCTTTATCAGCGAGTAATATGACCCTTGACGTCCTATCGCAAGTAGATCGGAATGTGACCCTTGTTCAACCAGCTTCCCACTTTTGATAACAGCTATGGAGTCTGATTTCTGNCAGAAAACTCCATAGTTGAACTCACCGGTAAGGAGAGTGATCAGTTTGAAGCTTTATCAGCGAGTAATATGACCCTTGACGTCCTATCGCAAGTAGATCGGAATGTGACCCTTGTTCAACCAGCTTCCCACTTTTGATAACAGCTATGGAGTCTGATTTCTGGATCGTTGATAAACGATGAGCCACAACCACGCAAGTCCTACCCACCATCATCTTCTCCAACGCATCTTGGACTAGATTCTCCGACAAACTATCGAGAGCGCTGGTGGCTTCATCCAAAAGCAGGATTGATGGATTCTTCAGTATCGCTCGAGCAAGTGCTATCCTCTGTTTTTGCCCGCCTGAAAGTTGGAACCCTCTTTCTCCACAGTAAGTTTCATAACCATCTTTCATAGAACTGCATTATGTTGTGTACTTTCAATGAAATGATCTAGAAGTGAATTGGTGGGGTGGGGGGGGGGGGGTAGGGCTAGAAAGTAGAAATTCACCTGATAAATTCATGAGCATTAGCAAGCGTTGCAGCCTTCCTTATTTCAGCTTCTGTGGCCTCCTCTTTGCCATAGGTGATGTTTTCACGAATTGTTCCTGCAAAAAGAGTGGGTTCTTGACTCACCAATGCAATATGTGATCTCAAGTTTTTCAAATTGTAATCCTTGATGTCTCTATCGTCGATTAGTATTGATCCTTTTATTGGGTCGTAGAATCTTTCAATCAACCCGATAACAGTGGATTTTCCTGAGCCACTTTGTCCAACAAGTGCCACTGTCTTTCCAGCTTCAATTTGGAGACTCAAGCCTTGAAAGATCATTTGTTCAGGCCTCGATGGGTAGGAAAAGGAAACATTTTTTAGCTCTACACGGCCTCTTATTGTCTTTTTAACCTTGATTCCTTCGGTGTCGTCAGGATCGATCTCACTTGTCCTGTCTAGAATTGCAAACACTGATTTGATGGCATTGGCACCTTTTGCCAAATCTGAAGTCATGCTTCCTGCATCTGCAATATTCTTACCTGTGCTCATCAAGATGAAGAAAACTTGAAACAGATGCTTTGAGGATACCAATCCTTGATTCATGAGCCTCCCTCCATACCAATAGGTCAAAGCTACAGTGCCCGTCGTAAGAAATTGGGAGCTGAACAAGCCTATACCCGAAAACCATGACTGTTTGACACTTTCTTTCCTGGGACCTTTCAACGTAGTTGCAAAAAGACCCAATATTCTTTCCTGAGAAGAAAATGCTATAACTGTTCTGTGATTGACTACTGCTTCACTTGCTAATTGGCTTCCTTCATTTTGTGCTTTCAAGGCCTTTCTAGACATGTTTTTCATCAAAACACTTCTTGAATAAAAGCTTGCAACAACTAAAGGCTGCATAGCGATCATTACGATGGCAACTCTCCATGTGACAACTAATCCAAGCACAAAAGCTAGGGAAGCACTTGTGAATACCTGAACCAGTAATGACATACGATCTCCAACAAGGGATCGAACCATGTTGGCGTCAGTGGCTAGCCGCGCACAAACTGCTGCACTTGTGTTCTCATCTTGATCAAACCACCCAACCTCAAATGTGAACACATTTTGAAGCATTTTCTCCCGCACCCTCTTGGTTAAACGTTCTCCCATGATTGCAAAATTGTAATGTTGGAGAAGATTGGCAATGAAGCTAATGACCCCTATAATTAAGAAAATGGTGCAGTAAAATTCAGTCTCTGATTTGATTTGGTGGCTATTGTTTATGAAGTATACAGAGACAATTGAACCCAAGCAATAGCCATGAATTGGCTGGATTGCTCCAGAGCCAACAGCACCTAAACATCCAAGCAAGGTTCTCTTCCACTCTGGTGCATTCATTCGCAGCAAACGCCATTGTGAAGGAGTAGGGTAAGAATAATTTTGTAAGTCTTCATCATCACTATCATAGTAAGAATACATTTGGACTGAGGGACCAGGACTCATTGTCAACGCTGGGCTGAAGGGGGAAGCAGGGCTATTTTGCCAACTTGATCTCACGCTGAAAGGAGTCCTGGGAGTCCAGGCATTCATTATTCTGCGAGGGGTTCTTCCCTTTGAAGGATAATAGAGACTACCAGATGTTTCATCTTTTTTTACTGATTGCTGCAATTTCATCATTCTAAAGTAGGCTCCACCTTCTCCTTTGTTAATCTGCATAAGCTCATCATGAGAACCTGATTCAACCACTCTCCCTAATTGAAGAACCACAATCATATCAGCATTACGAATTGTGGTGAGACGATGAGCAACAATGATTGTTGTCCTCCCTTCTGAGGCCTGGTCAAGCGCCTCCTGTACTATTCTTTCAGATTGTGCATCAAGAGCACTTGTAGCTTCATCAAGGAGAAGAATTTTTGGATCTTTGAGCAAAGCTCTTGCTATGGCAATCCTTTGCTTTTGCCCTCCAGACAACTGAATTCCACATGGCCCTACCTGAACCAGAGTGAACATTTATCAACTCAAGTGTAGCAAAATGAAACCAAAAAGGAAAATTCTTGAGTATGAACATTTGTCTTACTTGAGTTTCATATCCGTCCGGTAAGTTGACTATAAAGTCATGTGCATTTGCAGCCTTAGCTGCACTTATAACAAGTTCCATTGGAGCTCCTTCCTTGCCGAACAGAACATTTTCCTTAATGGATGTTGCAAAGAGAATCGGCTCTTGATTAACTAGCCCAATCTGAGATCTCAACCATTTAAGCTGAAGTCTTTTAATTTTGTGTCCATCAAGGAGGATATCTCCTTTGACAGGGTCATAAAATCGTTCGAGCAAAGAAATGATTGTTGACTTGCCAGAACCACTACCTCCGACAAGACCTACTGTCTTTCCTGCTTCCACTTTAAGGTTGATTCCTTGAAGGATTTGGGAGTCTGGTCTTGATGGGTAACTGAAACTAACCTCCTTAAACTCAATTTTTCCTCTCACATATGTTGGAATTTTTCCGCGGCTATCTTCTACATCTATATCAGGAATTCTGTCTATCATTTCAAAAATCCGTGTTGCAGCAGCAGTGGCCTCCGCAATGAAAGAGATATTAGGAAGCGCACTCATACAGGACCTGGAATCGCAAGTTTAAATGGTGAAATTTTAAGAAATTGCTTCAATATTTATTATAGTTTGTGTGAAGAACACATTAATTATGCTTGCATTAAAATTTTCATCTATGCAACTTAATTTGTTAGGTTGAGGTCACTGATATTGTGAAATCACTCGTAAACATCTAAATAAATATTGCATCATGGTTTTTAGAATTTCATAGTTATCTAGAATTATCTGCAAGTAGTGAAATATGCTCTCCTCCAATCCCCAGCATATTTTCTGTTTCATCCATGAACCCCGGTTAATCAAGGACATTGATGGAGATTGATATCTGAGTCCCAATTTCGCCCATATACACCACAGGTATAATGATAAGAGATTAATATACTTATCGAGCAAAGGGACTTACAGTCCTCCCAGGATGATGCAGATACTGGATACAAAAACACGAGCACCGTTTTCTCCTTTCTCAGTGACAAGAATGCTCCCAACCCACGATTGAAAGGCCCAAGCTGCAAAGGCCATTCCCATGCTCCCTATCAGTAGTCCTTTTGTAAAACCTTGCTTTATGCCAAGGTCCATACTCTTTTGAAGTTCGTTGGTGAACCTGTCAAGTGTTTGTATGTCCCCCACGTATGAATAAACAGTTCGAATTGACGAAATTGCCTGTTCTGCAATCCCACCTGCAACCGCATAAGCATCCTTCATTTTCATCCCGAGGTTCTTCAGTACCTTCCCAAATAATACTCCAGGAATAAGATACCCGAGTGCAAATGGAAGAGAAGCAAACGCTAGTCGCCATGAAAGCAGGAAGGCAACTAAGAGGCCGAATATGATTGATGATAGATTAGCCAGGCAGTTTGGTATCTGCTCAGCAAATTTTATCAGTTTGATGGTACTAACATAATAAAAAGATATAGGAGGAAGCTCATGGGTAATGTGATTGAGAAAAAAGTGAATACCTTCTCAGCTATAACATCCTGGATTAAATGGGCATCAGAGGAGATGGTTGAGACAACTCGAAAGGTGGTGGAGGAAGCAGCTTGGTTGTCGAAGAAACCAACTTCTTGTCTGAGGACTGATTTCAAGTATTCCATTCTCATGCGAGATGTTTGCCTCTCTGCAGTTCGTGTCCAACAGATTCCTTCTGCAAAATACATACACAAGAGTAATCAAACGAAGAACATAATTAAACTGTTATGTTTTTGTTCATTCTGATGCAGTTACTTTTTCTTTTGTAAACCGATTCTTCTGATTTTTGTTCAATTTAATTCACTCTTCTTCGTGCAGTTCTTGTAGTTAACAATCATGCAATTTGTGTTGGATTGAGTCGTATCTATTTTTCAAAGGACAATCAAGAAGGGTTGTACAGAATTTGACATTTTGTGAACTTTTAGTATATGCCTAATACTAAACTCTACTACCATGCTCTATTATGGTTTGTTTGTTAAAACAAAAATAAAGAAAAGCTTGGACATACCCAAATTTTACTCAGTGAACCCACAAAAAACTGATCTAATGTTAACTCTGGAATTGCACATACCAATGAAAGCAGAAACTCCCACTCCAATAGCAACGTAGAGCAACCTCAGAGAAAACTGCCAAAAAAAAAAAAAATAGATAAACCTTGTAGAGTATTGAAGAAATGAAAGGTAAATAGCAGATGATACTAACAAGAGACAACAATGCAACGTTTTAGTCACTAATAGAAATTGAGAAAAAATTTAAAAATTTATTTTCAAAAAAATTCTAAACTTTCTTGCAACACCTCTATAATTGGTATTTCGATATTCAATCTCTAATTCGTTTTAGTTTCTATAAAAACAAAGACATTTCGGTCATTTCGATCATTTTTCAAACCGAATTTTGATCAACAGATGGAAATCATACCTTGTCCACCACATGATTGGAGATAGAAAGGTCAGCACCTCCATAATCATTGATGGCGCCACTTAGAACCAGCATTGTAAGTGGAGACATGATCCCATCTCCAATACTTCCCAAGGTACCAAACAACATGAGTAACTTGTCTATACCGTCGGCACACCGGAAAATGCCACTTTTATCCCCCATTTCAATGGAGAGTTTACCTCTTGAAGCTAAAATTCTTTTATGTACTCTGAGATTTCATATTCTTTTAAGATCTCATTGGTCACACGCAGCTACCCATTCTTAAATACCCTTTCATTGATTTTATAATGCTATATGGAGCGACTCAAAACACCAAAATAGCCTGCATTTGTTGTAGGAATCTTTGGCGGTATTGCAATGTCGGTTTCAATTGCTCCAAGTGGTTCATGGTTGTTGTTGTTGTATAACTAATAAATTTTCCGTTTAAATGACGATAATCGTAATCTAAAATAATATTAATATTGCAAGTAAATTCTCAGTGATGACGGGTATTCTAAACGCATGATTAATGGTGGTAATCTTATACCCCCATCTTGATTTGGTATTCTTAAAAAAAAAGAAGAGTAAATTACACAAATGACTTTTAAATTGTGATCCTTGTATCAATTAAGTTTTTAATTTTTTTTTTTTATTTCAATTGAGTCACTAAAGTCTTTAATTGTGTCAATTGAGTCTTTTTATCTTTTTGTGCCATATGGTTACGTGAATGACATTTTAACGGAGACAGACATAATAGAAGGGTTCAGGGGCTCAATTGATCAAAAAAAAAATAAAAAATTCAAGGGGTTAATTGACACACGGGTCATAATTTGAAGGTCATATATATACTCATTTGTGTTACGTGAGTAACACATTTCACAATTTTTTGTTAGAAAATTTAATGGAGTCAGACAAAATGATTCAATTCATATAATTACATAGTTCAGAGGTTCAATCGACCAAAAAAAAAATAAAATTTAGAGACTTTATCGACACATGAGTCATAATTTATCCATATATATAGTTTAAGAAGAAAAACTCAAAATCAAACTTCTTCCTAGAATTTACTNGTAGAAATTGAGAAAAAATTTAAAAATTTATTTTCAAAACAATTCTAAACTTTCTTGCAACACCTCTATAATTGGTATTTCGATATTCAATCGCTAATTCGTTTTAGTTTCTATAAAAACAAAGACATTTCGGTCATTTCGATCATTTTTCAAACCGAATTTTGATCAACAGATGGAAATCATACCTTGTCCACCACATGATTGGAGATAGAAAGGTCAGCACCTCCATAATCATTGATGGCGCCACTTAGAACCAGCATTGTAAGTGGAGACATGATCCCATCTCCAATACTTCCCAAGGTACCAAACAACATGAGTAACTTGTCTATACCGTCGGCACACCGGAAAATGCCACTTTTATCCCCCATTTCAATGGAGAGTTTACCTCTTGAAGCTAAAATTCTTTTATGTACTCTGAGATTTCATATTCTTTTAAGATCTCATTGGTCACACGCAGCTACCCATTCTTAAATACCCTTTCATTGATTTTATAATGCTATATGGAGCGACTCAAAACACCAAAATAGCCTGCATTTGTTGTAGGAATCTTTGGCGGTATTGCAATGNATCCGTGTCCCTCGCCAAGCCGAGCCGAAAGGATGCTGCTGTCATGACCTCCGAACATCCCTCGACCTCATTGACTTCTTCCCAGTATCGGATGGCGTNTTTAAATTTTTTTTTTATTTCAATTGAGTCACTAAAGTCTTTAATTGTGTCAATTGAGTCTTTTTACCTTTTTGTGCCATATGGTTACGTGAATGACATTTTAACGGAGACGGACATAATAGAAGGGTTCACTGGCTCAATTGATCAAAAAAAAATATAAAATTCAAGGGGTTAATTGACACACGGGTCATAATTTGAAGGTCATATATGTACTCATTTGTGTTACGTGAGTAACACATTTCACAATTTTTCGTTAGAAAATTTAATGGAGTCAGACAGAATGATTCAATTCATATAATTACAGAGTTCAGAGGTTCAATCGACCAAAAATAAAATAAAATTTAGAGACTTTTTCGACACATGAGTCATAATTTATCCATATATATAGTTTAAGAAGAAAAACTCAAAATCAAACTTCTTCCTAGAATTTACTTATTCTACACCAAAATATTTTCTCAAAATCAAGCTCCTTACTCTAGTTATGTTCATTCCTAAATACAATTATGAAATACATATTAGTCCCCTTATTAGATTTAGAGATAATAACCAAACTTTAAATATAAGATTAGTTTGTTATTATAAATCTAATTATCTTTTTGTTGGAAATGAGATACCCATTTCCAATTACTATTACTCCGATCGAAATTGACGTAAAATTTAATCAATTACAAAGTCTTGCATCATCAAAGGATATTTGATAACTAGTTGCCAATTTGATATAATGTATTTTCTTTCTTTGGCTCAAATGATATTGGGACTCCGTTTATTTACAAAATACCATAGGGACCCATTCAAATAGCCGGCACTCCTCGTTGGAATCATTGGTAGCATTGTGTTACCAGTGCTACAAAATAGTCCTGCTGGTTGTTTGGGTTTCCATGTCCTTTACCCACATTATCCGGTGGACTCTTGTCTGTTATAGAGTATTTTCATAACTCAGAATCATTACCATTCAACTTATAAAGACCAAAAATCCTTGGGGCCCTATTGGGTAATCTTTGTAGTTTGGGTTTTTTTGTGAATTCTTAGATCATGAAGGAATATATGATCACTAGATACCAAGTATAGATATTGTAATGTTCTTGGCTTTGTGTGGACCACTGTACATGACCCCCTTGGCTGCAAAAGCATTCCTTCGGGCATTACAAACTGCTTGGATCCATTTGTAAATTGTTCCATATTTGATGTTTGCTAGTGCAAGTGTATGTGGTAGACAGATGTATATACCGATCATCCGAGCTGGTGGTCTAGTTGTAAAATGTATTCACTTAGGGTCGTCTTAAACTTCTATGTGTTTATCAAGTGCGGTACAATCCATGAGAGTAATACAGTTTATTACTTAATTTTGATAATTCTGTGGTGACAGATTATATTTTTGAGTTAATAATTATGACTTAAATTAAATATTTTGCTGTGAAAAACCTTCGTAATCACGCAAATGGGTTACTACTTATTGCCCACCCCCTCTCCTTTTTTTGATCAAAAANTGTGCAAGTGTCTGTGGTAGACAGATGTATATACCGATCATCCGAGCTGGTGGTCTAGTTGTAAAATGTATTCACTTAGAGGTGTCTTAAACTTCTATGTGTTTATCAAGTACGGTACAATCCATGAGAGTAAAACAGTTTATTACTTAGTTTTGATGGTTCTGTGGTGACAGATTATATTTTTGAGTTAATAATTATGACTTAAATTAAATTTTTTGCTGTGAAAAACCTTCGTAATCACGCAAATGGGTTACTACTTATTGCCCACNAGTGCAAGTGTATGTGGTAGACAGATGTATATACCGATCATCCGAGCTGGTGGTCTAGTTGTAAAATGTATTCACTTAGGGTCGTCTTAAACTTCTATGTGTTTATCAAGTGCGGTACAATCCATGAGAGTAATACAGTTTATTACTTAATTTTGATAATTCTGTGGTGACAGATTATATTTTTGAGTTAATAATTATGACTTAAATTAAATATTTTGCTGTGAAAAACCTTCGTAATCACGCAAATGGGTTACTACTTATTGCCCACCCCCTCTCCTTTTTTTGATCAAAAAAAAAAAAAAGTGGTGTAAATAGATGAATGAGGCATCATATCAAGTGAAAGAATTTTATTTTCACAATTTGTATGCAAATTTATTAGAAATTGGTTATTCAATTAATGTCTAAATAATTTAATTAAAGTTGATTTTTATTGAATTTTATAAAATTTTATCAAACAATCACACAGATTACATAACAAAGTTGTGTATGTTTGCACCAAGTTTGAAAGGTGTGTGGATAGACGAGTAAATAGATCAGATCTTAATTTAAATTAGATTTGAAATCGAAACCATTTAAATAAATATAAATTTTCATTTTCATTCGTTACTCAGATCCCATCCGNCGAAAGGGGTGTGGATAGACGAGTAAATAGATCAGATCTTAATTTAAATTAGATTTGAAATCGAAACTGTGCGGGCTCGATCCTGCACGATATACAAAATATTGGGAACAGATCTCTTCCCTGGTGAACTNTGATCCAATTCAATATATATTTGCTTTTTTTTATTTTTTATTTTCTTTTCTTTTCTTCCTCATTTCTGTCCTCCCCTCTGTCCAGTTTTCTCAAAGTCTCTGTCCCTTTCTCTGTCTTTCTATCTGGGACACACACCCCACCAGACCTCTTTCCCCTATGCCCTATGACCTATCACTCGTCTCTAGCACACCCTCCTTGTCCATTAACTCGCCAAAAAGCCCTACCCCGTCGATTCTCTGCAAGGATTTTATTCTTTCATAACCAGCTGCTCATCGACTGCTGGATGCCTGTACAACCGTGAGCAAGCTCATCGATGACAGGCGATCCACGGTCTCGGACGATACCTGAGCTCAGATTTGGTTATTTTACTTCATGTTTATTGGTTGGAATTGATAGATAAATTGGTGAAATTGTGGTTAAATTGAGCTTATATTTTTTATTGATTCATTATATTGAAGTGAAATTAATCTGACATTCACCTAGTCTTTTGTTGAATTCAAGTGAAGTTGAATGACTGAATATCTTGTAGATTGCTAGTATATGTGAGGGAATGATAGTCAGATCAGATCGGGTAATCAGGTTGGATGTCGAATGTTAACAGATTCAGATATGGATTGATTTTTTGAGATTCGTCGGACAATCAGATAGGACCGTATTGACTATTTGAAATCCAATTCGGATATAAGACAATTCAGTCCATACCTGATCCGTTGACAAGCCTAAGCGGGGATAATCGCAAATTCAAATCCATGAAGAAAATGTATTCGAATTCAGATTCAAATNTGTTGACAAGTCTAAGTGGGGATAATCGCAAATTCAAATCCATGAAGAAAATGTATTCGAATTCAGATTCAAATTTAAATAGCTGATAAATAAATCAATCGATATCTAATCAATCAAATTGGGATTACAATCCAAATCCAATGGCAAGCCTTAGTGTCTGGTTACACCTTCCTTTTCTGGACCTGAAACTGAAATCTTTTTGATGCATATCATATATTTGTTGAGATATTTGGCGCTCTTTAGGGCTAGCCAAATCTTCTCACACCTATTTCTAGGACCTTATCAAATGTCTTCTCACAACATGTGTCATGGTACAGTACAGACTGCTCTGAAGCCTAGTTTACCTCTTTAATTAAGACTGAAATTCTTGATATAAATAGAGATTTAAGGTTCTTCAAGGGTTCACTGGTACAGCCAGCCTCCCTTAACTATGCTTCCATTTATTTAAAATACCATTTGGNCTGACACTGCTGGTTGAATCATTTGCACTGTGAGCTAATAGAGATTTAAGGTTCTTCAAGGGTTCACTGGTACAGCCAGCCTCCCTTAACTATGCTTCCATTTATTTAAAATACCATTTGGGCTGACTCGATACTATACTAATCACTTCTGGTTGGAATCTTTGGTGCCATTATAATGTCGGTTTCCAATAGCTCCAAGTAGTTCTGGTAATGGGGTGTCCATGTCGTTAGCCACATTGGTCAAAATATACAGACTAAAAATCCTTGTCTCTTACTGGATATTCTTCAAGTTTAATCAATTTCAAAGTCTTGCATCATGAAGTAATATATGATTGCTGGATACCAGTGTAGTGTAGATACTGTGATGTTTTTGGCCATACTTTATTTGGATTTCATTTGTTTATAATACCATAGGACTGAAATCTTACAATAGCTGGCACTTCTAGTTGGAATCTTTGGTGGCATTGTGATTTTGGTTTCCATATAGCTTAAGTAGTCATGGTGATGTGGTTCCCATGATGGTTAGCTACAATAGTAGTACTATAAAGATTAAAATCCCCATCTCTTAGTGGTAAATCTTCGTAGTTTAATTAATTGTAAAGTCTTGCATCATGAAGGAATATGTCACTGGATATCAGTGTAGATGGTTTTAATGTTCTTGTCCATATATATGTTGTTGGGACCGATTCAGGTTCATGAAGGGGACTTGAATTAGTCCAGGTGGTCACATTTGTTCTTGTTCTTGTCCATTTTTGGTTATTGTCTCTTCCCCTTGTCTGCTGGTTAGCTTGGGCTTCCTTGGTGAGGGAACTAGAGATATCACTTGGGGTATAGGGTATAAACTAGTGGCAGGTTATATCACTGCCGATTGAGGTTGGAAACTTTCTTTTTGTGTGCCTTGAAGAAGATGTTACGTTCAAATACTAACGAAAATCCTAGACTTTCCCA